GGACGTTATGGTAGAAGTAAGAAAAGCCGCCACGGCATGAGAGCGAAGCCGCAGTGATGCAGGAAGACGGCCTGGTCTTGAGTGTGGCTCCTGGTTGGGCGGCCTGGGGGGTAAGTCCAGTGGGTGCGGCGATCCATGAGCGAACAGACCACCATCACCCCTGCAGGTACACTTCTTCCCTAGTTTAGCGCGGCCTCACCCCCAGAAGCTTAGTGGCCAAGGCATGCAAAGACGGCTAGGATTCGCAACACAGGCGGGTCTGCAGACAGGGATACCGGCTGGGTCCAGGAACAGGGCTCGCATGCGAAAGGGCACTGGCTCGAAGGAGCCGAATGCAGCACGGTCAGCTATCACCTCTTTTGCAGCTCGTGCATCGTGATTCGCGACAATACGAGAAGGGCTTCCCACACTGAAGCGCGACGGTACCCAGAACGCAATACGCAAGCGTTTAGCAAAGATCAATACGGCGTAGTCGCTAGCGGAAGTTGAAATCATAGGTCCGCCCTTCCAACATGATCCTTTCATGGAGGATTCTAGTTCATCGGTTCTCGATGATGTTGCGATGGAGTCGAGACTCGACAGGCCGCCTACTGGATTGGCAGTTCAGCCACCATGGATCTGCGAAATTGCTGCTGACTGCATGTACAATATCAGGCAAGTGTCCAGACAACATACGTCTTTGCCAATTTTGCCGTCTCGTACAGAGTTGCCTGGCACTTTGAACTGGAGCCATCGGCAACGTCCGAGAACCGTTGGGGCTGATCAATAGATCATCGCAACTGGTTGCGGGTCATCGTTCGCTCCTACGTCGCTCATCGTTGCCTTCCAACGACAAAGCTCGACTGGCTCTTGAGCCACGCGCGACCATGCTTGTGCAATTTTGGGAACAGTCATCAGTTGGCGTTGTGGGACTGTGAATTTCAGCTTGCTCGACTATAGCTGTGCCTATAGAGAAAAGCAAGCAAGTCGCGGGAAGTACGAACTGTCCCATAATTCTCCGGTCTGACTGAGCGTTGAGAGCCTCGATCGAGAGCTGATCCTATCACGCTCCGGTGTGCCCTGGGTGGCGTAGTCAGCGCTGCAACGTCCGGCGTTTTCGAGCTCTCTTTGCCGCGTTAGCGCCGCTTGGTGGAGTTCCCCAACAAACGCGTGCCGACGCGTAAAACTCCTCATTGTTTTGATCTCATTAGTACGTCGTCTCCACTAGTAGAGCTTGCCATCGTCGTGGGGCCTTCTCGCGAACCCGAGGGTTGTAAGGTCGTGCTGTATAATGACGAGAGGATCTAGGCCAGGCACGTGTCGTACCCCGCTGTCTGTTATCAACATAATGGCACGCGAGCTGGTCCGCCCAACTTCTTCTCAACTTTCTAGCTCAAAAGTACACGTTTTTACGTAGTGACAACCGCCATGCCCCGCCTCCGTTCGTGATGACTTTGAATTTTTCTTACTGGCCCGTGGACATACGCTACGCCTCAGAGGTCGTGTGGTCCGTCTGAGGTAGCGAGCGGAGAACATGCATTAGTCCTGCACTGTGCCTGCAGAAGCCTCTTCGCTTTCTTAGTAATCCATTGGGCTGTAGACGCACACAACCATGATTGGCGGACAATTCGACAGACCCGCTTCCTAGATGACGTTGGCATATGCTATGAGGGAACGGTTAATGGCAAGAGAAACCCGGAGTCTCTCGCGTATGACGGCTAGTTCGCGGGGGAATGGAGAGCGTTGAAACCGTTCGGTAGTGTTCCAGGGTAGGATTCTCTCCATGTGAGCCCAATTTTATCAACCCGCGTACGTATGCTGCAATACTAAACGTTAGCCTCATGCCTTGCAAGGAGACCGTCGTCGACCGATGTCACCAACTGCTCGGTACAGTCCAGACTACTCTCTCTGGTCTAACCCAGGTACCTGGCTTTCCGTGTCTGATCTACCATAAGCGTTCGTCCCATGGTACTGCAGTTACGCTAAGAGACATTACGAGCACTTCACGACCTCAATGACCCACACGAGTAGGTGCTGTCTACCCAAATAGAACACGGAGGTGGCCTCTCTGGCTGCTCGGTACACAGGAAGAGCGCACGCCATTGCAACTAGGAGGATGCCCCGGATTACACTATGAACGTCACTAAATCCTTCGAAATGTTTGACAGCAGTCGGCCCGCAAAGGATTCTGCTCGTGTCTAGACACCATACGCCACCTCGACTAGACGATAAAAAGTGTTGGTGCGTGAACGGTGTGTTAGTATGCTCCGCCCTTTCACGCTCATCAAAGTCTTCGTGAGCAAGATACGGGGGTTCGCATCTCCCGGGACCTTTTGCCTCCCTGCTCTGGTATTACTGCCTGCTCGGAGCACGGAGCATTTGTTCTCCGCATGAACCAAGAGACAATTGTTAAGAGCGGCAGACAATCTAAGTTTCAGCGCTACCGTATATCCATTCAAACTTACCATCAACTTCAAAATGCAAAGACCGGCATGTACATGTAGGCTTCAATACGTGGCGTCAATTGAGCATATTTCCTATCTCCCAAAAGTCATGCCGATTTTTCCGTACAGAAAATTCGACAGGCAGTTATTGCAGATCAGGAGACATTTTCCCGTTTACCGCCATCCCAATAACATGGTCAGCTCGCCATCTGAACGCCATACTGCGAAGCGATGTGCAAACCCATGTTTGCCATCCTTCGCACCTAGCCCTACGAGCAGGGCCTCCAATGTACGCAATCATCTATAAGAAGCGTCATATTGGTATACTAGCTACATTCACACAAGTAGCATACACTTCATCCCGTCATCCCCCACATCACGTCCCGTCCCAAGAGTCTCGAATTTGGACCCAAGAAGCGACTTTCAATGCAACGTCCCATCACATGACGGGAATGGCGTTCGTCGACGGCCGCAGCTGTCGTTTCAGGATCGATGTCCGAACGGGGATGTTGGAACTTCTAGCCACGAGCCGCATTGCGTTCGCTTATGCCTACAATGTGATTCTATAGCACAACTAGATGGCTCTGCGATGATGTTACGGATGTAGCGATCGAAGATCCAGCTATTGCTGATGAGGTTAGTTCTAGCAGCACCGAGAAGGTTTACCCGACTGCATCGTACGTGGAGTATCGAGGCGTCAGATCGCTCGTACCACTCAGGTACGCTACCGAGGGCCTGGGGAAGCGCATGTACGGGACGTTCACTAGGATTCATGCCAATCATCGTACACGCAATGCTATCTGGAAAGGTCGGTGAGGGATTTCGGCCTCCCGTGTTGCCGAAAAAGCAACTCTTTTAACTCGCTGGAACGGTCTCGACGTGTCAGAACGGCACGCCTCGTTGACATATGGCATAAATGCCAACACCGGGAAATGCTATTGGTTAATTGGGTATCATTAAGAGGGGGGAAAGCAAATGCCACTGAGATGTGACTTGAATGTCATCGTGCGCTTCATTCATAGGAGTAGCAGCGAATGTTATTTTTGAGTATTTCGGTCACAGCTATACCAACCATGTAGACGGTGTCACTATCACAGGCACTTGAATCAGTCAACTGCCTTCAAAATCTATTTGGAACAGCAAGATCATTATTCATACACATTATCGTTTGGGAAAGACAAGTTACGAACGCTTCCAACTTGACTGTTCCCAGGCCATGAGTGCGGACAGACTGACGGCACCGATAAGGTTTGTTAAGCTGCTTCAGATTTAGTCGGATCGCCATGTTCGTCGATTTGATGTATACTTACGTACGGCTCCAAAGGAAGATCAGTTTCCAATCCTATATGCAATCCAACGTGTCTTGGTGCAGTAGTTCAGAACATATTGTGAGAGCTGCTGTGTGTAAGAAGAGATGAAACCAAGCCGCTTTAAGGAGGCACTGAGCATACCAAATCGTTGGTGGTAAGGTTCAGTTGTGGGCATCTGCCAACAACGCCGAAGAAGTTCCCAAACCCGTGGTGATACAAAGCCAAAACATTCGTTCGTTACGGACAGAGAGCTTTCGAAAATCGCTTGATCAAATCAGAACGTCGAGCGAAATATCAACTCGAGAACAGAGCGATGACCAAAGGCCAAGAGAGACTGTCGACAACCTAATGGCTTGCAAAGGTCTACTCAGCGGCCCTGTCCAGTTCCACCCATAATGCGGTCTTTTGTAGACCTCTGTCTAGACTCTTTAGACTTTCCGTCAGCAGCAGTTTGGTTTGCGGCCACCTCAGATTCGAGCTTCTGTTGAGCCTCGTGGAGTTTGCGTTGTCGACCAGCTTCCCACTGCTCGATGTCGGCCTGAGTGAGAGTAATCGTAGTTGGGGCGCGTCGGAGCATATTGATGACGTTTGATCGACTTGTGGAAAAAGATGTAAGTAAAAGATGCGAATGCGATAAAAATGTTCCAGAATATGTCAGAGCCCAGACGATCGGGTTTGATGGTAGGACTGGCTGAAGTGGCTGGACGCGCCTGTTGTTGTGTCGTGTGATGCAGCGTCCGATGAGAATGCGGTTGATACGAAAGGTGAGTTCTTAGTATGTCGTGGAAACGCAGCTTTACTGGAGAGACGAAACGAGTGTCGACGGATGAGGCGGTTTGCAAACACTGTAGATCATTCGAGATGGATAAGTTGAGGATGTCGCTAGACGCGAGTAACAGATGCGCGCTCGCGACCAAAACACTGATTTCCAAAACAACCACCAGTTTGTCAAAGATGAGATGAGTGAAATTCGACAAAGAAACTGATATGGTCAAGGCCCAACGAGAGTGCCGTGCGGGAAGCGGAGCACGTGGTGCGGAGGACCACACTGCAAGATCCCTGTCTGCCAAGACTTCGCGATCACGAAACTTTGGAGTTTAGAGTGACAGCATCAGCGACGGCCATCCACACAGCATGGCTCAGCGACACATGTGCCCTTCAATGGGTGCTTTGAGGCGCTCATTAATAGGGGATGTAGCAGCCCTGTCCAAATGCTCAACGAGGGCACTCCACAGCACAGCGAAGAGACTGGAAGAGCAACCCAGCGATGCATCTCCAGCCCACCGTACGCCTTCAAGACGCTCAATGGTTCTACCAAGTCAATGCTGATCAAGACTCAGCGCCAAACACACGCAAAGCCCGGCAGGCGACTGCTCTCAAGCAGATCACCTCGCTTCAGAACCGCCGCATCCAGCCTGGCGCACTCGCTCGAGGCTCTTTTCCAAGCGGTCAGATGGCACGACGAGCCCCCCGCTCGCCCTCCACTCCGCTCACCAAGGATGGCTTCATCTCCGAAGACAACGCCCCAGCCGATGCGCAGCCAGACGCAAACCCCCGCTTCGCCCGCAACACAGCACGCCCAACGACGACCCGCGGCTCGACCCCTCCCCAGGGCCAGATGGTCCGCGCCCCCTCCACACTGCGTGTAACCCGTCAAACAGTTGACGGCCCTGTTCGTGGCCCCGCTCGTGGACCCAACGTGCGTGGCCCCAATCTACGCGGTCGAGAAGGCGGACGACCAGGACCAGGTGGAAAGCGCGCTGGTGGTGCGCGAGGCAACAACCGTGGTGACGGAGGACCTCAGAAGCGGAAGAAGGGCGCTGGTGGCGAAGAATCGATGCCCACTTCCCTTGCGGACGTGAAGATTGAGGAAACCGTCTCAACGAGCATGCAGCAACAGCTCTTGCGTCTGCAAAGGAAGGAGTGGGACCGCGTGCCTTACGAGCCCAAGTATGCCAAGGGCAGTTTTGCCGCCAATGAGTTGATACACGCTGGAAGGGAGCTGTTCAAGGGCGAGGCCCCACCAGTCAAGTTTTGGGGACCTCTTGAGCACAGAATCGGCGTTGTGGGCATGTTTGGAGCGGAGGCGACTTTGAAGGTTCGCAGAGTGCCCGATGGCGATGCAGAGCCATTTGGACAGGAGGTACTCGAGCAGGAAGGGCCAGTCGAGGCCAAAGGTGCGGAGAAGAAGCAGGCTGTAGCACGATAGAGTGCCATGTGGACTATGTATATTGGAACTGTACATTTACGGATATCAAAGACTCATGATTGTTCGGAATGTGGTTGTTTATTTCTAGCTTGAGGCGTCTATGTACGTGACATACGCCGTTGCGAGATCACCATGTCTGGCGCGACGCGCATCGCAGATCGTTCCTCTAGAGTTTCCATCAACGAAGTAGCTCAATGCGGCTACAAAGCATCACGACTTATTTGGAAGCCCACACGACCTTGTACTTGAACTGTGTGGGGAAGCTCCTATCTGTGATGAGCAGCTCTTCACCCTCTTCGACCAAGTCGATCATCTTCTTCTCTAGGTTAGGACGTGTTTGCTCTTCGAGGCCTGCGAGCTGCATGTAGAGCGACTTCTCACCCGTACGGATAGAGGGCTTCTTGAGTTGCCTGTGACGGTCAGTATATCATAAACGGTTTCGCGAGAGCAAAAGACATGGATTGGGAAATACATACGCTTCAGGCCGCTCTGCCAACCCATCGATAAACTCCTGCAGCGTGATACCAGGAAGAATCTGGAGAGGACGAGCAATGTTGCCAGCACCACAGACGGGACAGTCGTCCTTCTTTTGGTGCTCAAAGGTATATGTGTATACGGAGTCGTCGCCAGTGTACATCATGTAGTTGTCTGTGCCCGGGAAACCCATGAACGGGGCAGTGTTCGTTGCCACCTTGAATGCTTCGTTGCAGCAACTCGCCGCCACGATGGCATTCGTACTCGCAATAGCCGGGATGATGTTTTTAACGACACCTTGTGTCATGCTATAGGTAACTCCTTCAATATTGAACTCTTTAGCTCGGGCGGATGCCTTGTTGAACAACCAGGTAATGTGCTCTGGGTCGTCGGTATCGAGAGTAATGTCTTTACGCTCTTCTTCCCAGGCGATTATGTGCGCCCATTCGATACAATGTTGTGGTTGACGTGGGATAGTAGCTAGTGTGCACAGAGGCACTGCAGCGCGAGGAGCATGCATGTCGAGCTGGCACTCGATACAGGAAGTCATGGTTGGGAAGATGACACGGGCTTGGCCTTTGAAGCCTTCTGTTCCTCCGTCGATCAACGGCTTCATTGAGTCCGGATCATTCTCATCCACCATACCAACAAGTGTTGCATTGATCCATCGCCTTGCCTCGATGGAATCTAGACCACATACTATGAGTCCGAATTGCATGTAGTAGCTCTCGTCCTTGTCCTGGATTTTGCCACAGTAAGGAGTGATCTTAACGCCCTTTACACGCTTTTCGACGAAAGCAGCAGCAGTCTCAGCCTTGTACTTCCCCACGTCTGAGGCGCGGAAGAGAAATTGTCGATTCAAGTTGCTGACGTCAATGGTATCCATATCGATAACGTGTATGTCTTTGAATCCTGATAGGGCAAGATTCTTGAGGATCTCACAACCCAGACCGCCGGCTCCGCTAGAATTCAGTGAGTAAAGAGATCAGAGAAAGGTTTGCTATCTCTTATGATCGAGCGTTGACAAGAACATACATGACACTGCATGTCGTTAGCTGTAGTGTCTTGTACCTCCGAGGGAGTAAGTTTCGTACAGAACTTTAAGATTACTTAGGTACTCGATGACCTGTTCGCCAGCCATGAAGGCTTCCTCGTCTGTAAATGGTCCTTTGCGAGTCAGGAAGTTGTCCAGGTACTTCCTATCGCATGATATCAGTCAAGAGCTCCGACATTTTCCATGCTTTCGGCTTACCATCGTGCCCGCGGACTGCTTGTTGTGGCGGCACTCATGTTATCGACGCTGACAGCCATCCTGTGTACATGTGTTGAAGATGAGTGTTGGGAGAGTCAAGTGGAGCAAACCGTGGTTGTAGGCATCAGAGTGTAGATGGTCTGCCAAGCCGCTAGGCTGCGGGCCTGCGCATGGGAAAGGAAACACCGATTGGGTAAGGTTCACCAAGCGTCTACCTCTCGCATTGTTCACGAATTCAGCAAAACACAACGTTCTGCACGATTGAGTCAACCCGATCAGGGTATATGTGTCAGGCGGTCATACTTAAGCGTCATGACCGATTTCTTGACAGCCGTATCCACCAAGAAGGTCAAGAGCCCCGAACCTCTCATCCGGGAAGTAAGGAGTCTGGACATACAAGAAGATGTACTTTTTGTCAATTCTACAGAATCGGCCCTCGGAGCACTAAAGAACCAACCTAATCGCAACACAGTCAATAAAGTCCTGAGCTACCTCACCACAGAAGGATTTAGCCTCCTACTACCGGAACCATTGAATGCAAGCATCGCGCATCAACTCATCAACGATACCATCCCAAATTACTGGAGGACCATTAAAGGCTCGATTGAAGTTTCGAAGCTAGAAGACATTCTCCGAAATCCAACAGGACTTGGTCATCTCAATACAAGGCTTCGTTCGCTTATTGCAGACAGTCGCCAAAAGAAGGCACCCGGTGACGCACGGAATACAGCTGAACACATCGCGGATACCCTCGAGATATTGAGTTCAGTACTGAACGGGGATGAAACATGTCACCGCGTGTTGCAAGATGTCTTAGCATATGGTAAGAACTCAACGCAAAGAAAACTCATCTGGAAGGAGTACCTCGCGCAAGTCGCGTCCGGCCGTCTACTATCGATCGCAGCGGAGGCTGAAGACATACTCAAAAAGAGTGATGGGATTTATCAAGATGCTGTCTGGGTCGCAGACGGTAAAGAATACGCGACATGGTTAGGGCGCAACATCGCCATTCTACTCGAGCGCAGCTCAAGTAGCGAGGAGGGTCTCACTGCAGTTATAGAGCTTTGCTCAAAAGCACTGAGCTTGGGTTACACTGGTATGTCAGCGCATCAAGTTCCTTTAGTTTGTGCTAACAGCTCAGATCGGATCGTAAGCTCCCTCTTTCGAGCATTAATTGATAATAGCTCGCTTGAGCGCCTCCCAAATCTTCTGTCTCGGATGAAAACTTTTGAGCAGCGGAAATATCTCAACGCAATAGTCGTGTTGGTGACCAAAGAATACTTCTCTGTAGAGAATGTCCGTGTAGACGACGCCTCCATTGCAGTGTCTTCCACCGTTTCCTCTGCTGCTGCTCTATTTTATACACTCATCAAGGACAATGACGTTCTAAAAGAGCATCTCGTTTTGTTACTTTCGCGATCAACAATACCTGCGCTCGACGAGTCACTCTTGTGCCGACGAGGTGCATTGGCAGCTCTTACAAAGGATGACGGTCAGTATAGATTATGCACTGATTGGTACTTGCGACTAACAATCCATAGAGAAGTTACACACTCTTCTCGAGAATCTCATAAAAACCTTTGGCGATTCTGTATACATAAGGCATACGCCTGTACTGCAGCAAGAAGGTACGTGATATTTGTACACCACATAATTATCTTCTTGAGATAGCCCCACTCAAAGACTGGGTTGATCAGACCTTCTGGTCCGCATTGCACTTCATGAACATAGCCAGCTGACAAATCTCAGCTCTTGCTCAGACCCTGGCACTATGCAGTGGCTACGTAAAGCGTTCGCAGCCTATGTTTCTCATGATGATGGCAAAGTCAACATATCATGTTAACGGCATGTCGAACCGCATAGGAGCAGCATCTACGCGAGCTCGCTTCTTGGGTATTGCAGTTGGTGTTGCCATTTCCAAAATGGTTGACAAGCCGGAACTTCAACTCAAGTTTGAATTAGAGGGTGCCGAAGCAGAAGAAGCGAGTTGGTATCAACGCCTTACCGAGGTCGACGATAGAGTTGGAGACATTACGGATTTCAAGACAAAACGCCATGACATCGCACCAGCAAAGAAACTCCAGTCAAAGCCCAAGTCAACCCCTAGAATGCCCAAAGCCCCCGCGATCACCGAGGTGCAAGGCCCACGGGTCGTTGAAGTCATGTCAGACTCTGAAGATGAAGATGCAGATCTGATGGTGTACGAGAAGCCAGACTCTGATCCGGAAGACGACACAGACGACCCAACGGCTATCAACCGCAACAAACCCACCGCGCCCGTCTATATCAGGGATTTGATCGCGGGGCTGCGAGACCAGGAAAACTACGATCGCCATGAACTTGCTTTAGCCACCGCAGCATCTCTGATTCGCCGTAAGGCGAACTTCGGAACTGAAGTAACGGATCACCTCGAAGAATTAGCCTCTTTGCTTACGGGGTTGCAAGACAATTCGGAGTTAGAAGGCTTCGCACAGCAACGGCAGCAGGCACTGATCGCCGTGCTACTTGCGAAGCCAGCACAAATGGCGCAGTGGTTCGCTAGGTCTTTCTTCTCGGGTGATTACAGTCTACAGCAACGCATCGCTATGCTTACAACTCTGGGTCTCGGGGCGCGTGAGCTAGCAGGCATGAAGGACACCTCGACCAACGATCTGGTACCAGCAAAGCCAGACTTCCCCAGCAAACAACTTCCGCCGCACCTCCACAAGATTTACGCTGAGGACAACAACGCACCTACAGTAGCGAAGATCTCAAGCAGCATGGCGCGTGAGATGCTGTCACCCATCGCTAGCCAGGCAGCCGACCAGCTCAGCGGCCCTAACATCTTGAAAGTCCGGACCTTCTCTTCGCGCATGGAGGTTGAGAAGAAGCGACACAAGCCCATACCGAACGCACTTGCGCAGATCGTCGCAGACAACTTCTTCTTCCCACTCACTGGCCGCTGGTGGCTCCAAATCCGCGCGAATAACGACTCGATATATGCGTCTACTCACCTCCTCCCTTCTTTCCTACAGACCTTGTCATTGCTACTGAACGCGTCTGGCCCGAACACGCTCGCTTTACCGCAGATGACGCGTGAATACTGGGACCTGCTACTGTCGGTGCGCGGACTCGCGAGCAAGGATAAGAACATCCTGAACGCGGTCTTGTTCGGCTTCTTGATGTTGCTTGAAACGAACGAAAACAAGGAGCGGGTGGCTACAGAGCAAGGTAAAGAACTTATGGAGACACAGGCTTGGGTGAGGTCGGTATTCGAAGATTTAGGTACGGGAAGCGAGGAGGACGAGAGGGTACGCGTGTTGGCTGCCGGCGTCGTGGTCCGGTGTCAGGAGGTGATTGAGAAGTACCAGAGGAGGATGGCAGGAGCGCTGATGGACTATTAGCGTGGGTGTAGAGTATATTCGCGCAAGCTTGGGGAGTCAGACGTTGGGTTCAACTAGTTGGCAGAAAGAGCGGCAATGTTGTTGCCTAGGCTCCTGCACTCAGCAGTAGAAAAATCGATCCGCCAGATGAATATTGCTTGCGGCAACGACAGTAACGACTCGTTATCGCGATGCCAAAGGCCAGGAAATAGCGAAGACGACATCTCGCGATCGATTTGCTGTAAACTAGTTACCTCGAAAGCTTCACGTGTACCAAGCGAGTAGCTATGAAGGCACCCGTACAACAGCTAAGGCGATAGGATCGTCGCGACGCGTAACCCTACAACGCGTGCGCGAACACCAACAAGTCCCTGAATCACACAGCGCAAGTCTCCTTCCTCAAAACACCACGCAAAGCGGTGTCATCAATGAAAAAGCAACACAGATGGGTGACCAGAAAAAATTGCCCCGCCGAGATTCCCGAAGGAAGCTCGTGAGAATCCAGTACCGCGCTGTGCAATGCAGACCAGACGCTCAGATGAACCCAATCTTTGAGCTGGGTCATCGCAAGAAGGTAAGTATGCAGAATTAGTTTCGAGCGAAGAGCGGTATTTAACCACAAAGATACTTGGCACGCTAAAGGACACGTGAGGAGGAGCTAGGCAGTGAGGATATCTGGGCGAACTGTGCGCTGGTGGGCTTGAAGGTGGTTGGGGAGGTTGGTGCGGGCCCACTTGAAACTACCTATGATTCGTGTGACGCTATTGCCAAAAGCCTACCCTAAAGACATTCACCCAGTTCTGCGTTAGGCTGATAAGGTGGATGATAACGTACACTTTTACTGTGTTTACTATTGTCCAAACTGACCCCAATAGATGCTTTGCATCTGGGTAGCCTCCCTTCATCCTACTGCTAGATCTCACGACCAGTCCAGCATGAGTTGGGGCTGCAAACAATTTCATGAATGCTACCACCAACCACACAGTAAAGCCTAGCTTCAGGACTGTCATTCTCGTCCAGCCAGCCCAGAGCTGCGATGGCACCTCCTGCATCATCTCCACGCAGCCACGCATCTGTTGAGGGATTACCCGAGCTTCCTGGTACCCAGGCAATGAGTTCAGTCTCATTCAAGGATGTTATCTCAGTCGCGCGTTTGTCGTCCTGGATAATGTAGTTCTGCGTCACCCCATTCTCACCCAGATAGTCGGAGGCGCCAATCGCCGCATACAGGTTAACGTTGGAGCTGTTCTTTACGTCGAGAGAAAGCGCTGCACGAACGTGGTTAACGAAACCGGCCGTTGAGCCTATTGTGCGACTTACGATTGGCCCATTGCTCGTTCCTGGAATCCCAGTAAATATCCCTCAAATTGCCCTGCGGACCGCGATGCCATACTCTGACAATGAAAGGACGTTCGACGGCATCGATCGTGGCAGCAATTGCAGTGCCAGGTAGTATCTGAAGAAACGCATCGGCCACTGTCCACTTGCCTCTAGAGTAGCTTCCCCCACTCATTTGTCCATACATGTCCTGGTGGAACGTCCTGATCTGGTTACCAGGGTCGAGGAAATGCACTGCTGCTAGACCCGAATCGCTCGAGATGCCCGAATCGATTATGATATTGCCTGCTCTCCACGTACAGTTTGTGCTACTACCCGAACACAATCCGCCGATTTCGATCATCTGGGTGTCTTGGTTGTAGTAGTATATTCGAACCTTGATTTGGCATTAGCGACCTGAGCGACTACTATCATCGATAACGGAGAAGCCGGTTTTCCCAAGTTGCACCCAGCGCTTGAAGCGTATCCTAACGGTATACACTCGCAACGTTCTGCGAGTATTATGACAGGAAGACAAGCGCATACCTCTAGGATACGCTTCGAGTATCAGGCATACTTTAGGGAAAGACGAACAACGAATACCTTCAGACAGATCCAATGCTTACCTGGTCTCGGCCGTCATCGACCCAGGATATAGACGCAAGCGGCGAGCCCCTCTTTGCCGGAATAGATAGATCAATGTCGAGGCTAACCCACCCTTCATCACCAAATATCCTGGCCTTCAATGTCCCGGACTCCAAGTAAAAGATGTGTATATGTCCTGGATTACCTGTTCGGCTTGCGGCGATGCTAGAGATCTTGAATGACGAGCGCAACGATGAACCAGGCGTCGATGCGGGGCCTGTGGCTACAGTAGAAGTTGTACTAGCCGACAATGTGCTATGAGAAGACGACAGAGATGAACGTATTGAGGACTCCGAAGTGCTGGGCGTGGATTTCGCAGAATCGCCGTTCTCTGTGCGTCCTACCAGGCCGCCAACCAGTCCACCGACGAGCCCTCCGATGACCACCAGAACCACCAGCGCAGCTGTCCAGAGCGGAAAACCGCAGAGCTTCCGTTTCCAAATGACCTGCTTTACACCATCTCCCTCTTCTTGAGCAGCGCCACCAGAAGGTCTTTTGAGCTGTTGATGATGTCCGTAGGAAGGGTGTAGGTATCTTTGTGCGGTATTCGGCTGTGCAACCTCAATGCCTTCCGCATATTGGTTATGGACTTCAGGATACCAGGACATCGGGGCTGGCGATACCGTTGGTGAGTCTGGCAACCCCGGTAGCTCATGACGCTCGATTGGCTGCGCCTGCTGATATTAGCTGGGTTGTACTGAATAGACACTCGAAGCTGGTCAGCACTTACCATAGGGTTCCCACGAAGCGTAATAGGCTGTTCGGAATGCGACTCCTCTTGAACGATTTCTTGGTGAAATCAAAGCCCTGGCAAGTAGTTTCTACTACTAGAGCTAGTAGGCTCTTCCTCATCTTATGAAGCTGTTTTTTCAGCCTTGTCACCACCAATGCCAACGGCCCCCGGGTCGAGGCCGGAGTGAGTACTGCAACAAAAGCATTCCTCACACCAATAAGAAACAAGAGGCATCGGTAAGAGTAAGATCTGGTTTTGGCGTGGCTTGGTGAAGCCTATCTCAAACGACAGTCCTATCAGCTTCTAGCGAAACGGCTAGTATGGCCGTATACTGTGCTTGGCAAGACGAGGGTACAGATTCATCGCAGCCACGCGTTTGCTGTTCCTCTCTAGCTGCTTCTTAACTTACCGATCACTCACAGCAAGCTACCGAGATCGAGAGGTGGCTTACGGCCTCAGCAGCCTTCCGGACACGGCATCACACACTACAACAAGGGTAGAGGGAGAATCTGCCTATACTGCAGCCTACTACGAGGTATGGTAAAGGAATTGGAGTAACAGAACAGCTCTGTAGGCTTCTAGATTGCCTACCTACACACTCGATGTTCTCATCACGCGTTGCGTAGTGAGAAAGGAGAAGATCTTTGGACCATATTGAGTAGAGATCATTTTGTTCTCCCACTCACTGTAGGGCGTTCATGCGGTATGGATGGCTGAGGTTTGTTTGGTGGAATAACCAAATGTCTTGTGGTATCTGGATCATGCCGTCATCCTTCCCGATTGATAGCCGCCATCCAGGCACGTGCGCACGCGTTTTGATCATACCTACCTAGGTACGCCCAAACTCTGCACGTCGATGCCAAATCTAACTTTTTCCAACCCCATCGAGATGATGTACTTAACGTCGAAACAATATCTGAGAGGCGCCTGTGTCAGTTCATGCAATATGGGTTTGCAGGTCCAATGGCGATGCGCCGGGCAGAGCCGCGCGGGTCCTTCCCTGCTGGAGCTACGAAGCGCCACGACGGATATAGCTCGCAATCCAGATCGCACCCACCAGGGCGCGTACAAATGGATATCCGTGACGATGTTGGCGACTCTAGAAATATGTAAAGTGCAGTGCATCTTATACCTGGATGCTCTGGGCGAAGACCACCTGCACACATCATCCCAACGAACTCTTCACAACATCTTTAAGTATGCTTTGCGACGTATGTATTGGCATGCTTACCCGACGGGCGGGACAGTTCTTCGATGGCACCCTAAATGTTACGTTTGAGCATCACAAATCCACAAAGACTCTTCGACAATCGCTCAGCATACATTGTCCAATTTGCACACGCCTTGCTCGAATGCTCAGCCAAGACACTGATCTTTCGAGAGATCAGCCTGTAGCTATCAAAGCTATTCTAAGAAAAATTAGTCAGAAGACTAATGGTCCCAAAGGATATGAGTTCACATTGGATCTTGAGCTGGGAGAGGCCCGCTCAAGTCGTTTCTTCCTGGCTAAGATTGGTATTGCCGCTCTACTTTTCGATTGGTGTTTGACTGACATATGTAGACCCCAGAGCTCAATCAGTCCCTCACCAGATGACGTCTCATAACGTCTTAGAGACGACACAAACGTGGATGAAGAGGTGCAAATGCGCAAGACACTGGGAAGTGCCTGGCGAGCGATGGTATCCTCGTCGCTTACTGGACCTGCGAGAGCTGCGCGCCAATCTCAAGGATACAAGAAACGCCAAAATTCGCCTTGTGGAGTCGGCTGAATGCCCGGGTCTGCAAACGAAGAACGATGGACATAATCGTATTAGGTCAGCGCACCTGGACGACCGCTATGTCACGTTGAGCCACTGTTGGGGCAAGCCGATAGTTGGTGTGACTCCACTGAAGCTGACGACCAAGACTGAGAGGCGCTTCAAAACAGAAGGCATTAGACTCCAGGAGCTGCCCAAAACTTTCCGAGATGCAGTTGTATTCGCTTCATACTTGGATAAAGTCGGGTTCATATGGATTGATTCACTTTGTATTCGACAGCCACTCTCGGAAGCACCAGAGCAGCAACAAGATTGGCTTGAGCAAAGTCGATACATGGGAACTGTTTACCAAAAGGGTTTCCTGAACATATCCGCAACCGCATCGTCTGATGGCAATGGAGGTCTATTCTTTGATGAACGCCCTGACCACCTCTGGGAGAACAACGTCAACGTCTACTATCCCGACCCCAATCCTTCCGACTCGAACAGAGAACATTTCAGCGAACTCGACGCCTACACAAGATGTACAGTGATTGAAATTGAGGCTTGGGAGAATCTGGTGCAACTAGCCCCCGTCAACCGACGAGCTTGGGTTTTCCAGGAGCGCCTGCTGGCACCACGAGTTCTACACTTTGGCCACAACGAGGCTGCATGGGAGTGTTGTGAGTTCCAATGCAGCGAAAGTCAATCTGACGAACAGCTGGCTGTCGCCAACACATACCGTCTGAAACATCTTACACCTAAAGTTGGTCGCACATTGCGGGATATGCGGTTAAATGGCATTCCAGACCCAGACCTGCACCTACGAGACTTGTATACATATGAATTATGGAAGAAGGTCGTGGAAGCCTACTCTCGCGCGCAACTCACCATGTTCAAAGACAGGCTCATTGCACTGGCTGGTGTCGCAAGGCTGTTCCAGGAATCCTTGTTCAAGGTGGATTCTAGACAGCAATACGTCGCTGGGCTCTGGAGCGCGCATCTCGAAAGCCAGTTGCTCTGGAGTGTGAATGATGTTTACAAAAGCAACGGTGTCTTCGACAATCCAGCTCAACGTCACCCAGAAAGTGGACCCTCGTTCTCATGGGCATCAATTGACAGTCCATATGGCATCACTTACAACGATGTCACGGATTACAGGTCGTCATCAGGTACCGCTGGAGAGCTGCTCTTCAGAGCAATGGACTACAGCGTTGGACTAGCCGACCCAAAGAATCCTTTTGGGATGGTTACCGCAGGCCGACTACTCCTCGCACCCCATCATCTCCGCCGTATAGAATTGTATAAACTGCCAGTGTCACGCAGAGTGCCATTCGCCTGGCGCCTCAAGATCGAGCCCCAGCCCAAGCGACCAAAAGAGTTTACAAACATTAATCTCGACGCTCCGGAGTCTGACAAAGATATGTTTCGTGCTGATGCACAAATGTATTGTATGCCTGCCGCTTATGGGGAACGAACGGTGATAAAGACAGACCGATACCTCTATTGCTTGTTGCTCAAACATGAAGGCTCGGTTGCGCTCACGATGGGTGGAAAAGCAGGTCGCTACCGGTCATTTCGACGAGTTGGTATTGCAAAATTAAGTCATATGGACGAACGGGGACAGGATGCGTTAAAGGAAGAAAGCACGGAAGAAATTATCTGCTTGTGCTAAGGCCATGTTTATTTACTTGGAATGTGGGGCGTTCATCGAAGAATCATATAGTAGTGCACCAAAAATTGATCGAGATAACGATACTAACCAGTATGTTGTGGTACGCGGATATTCGACTTTGCCCCACCTTCCATTCCTAGCCTCGGTCTCCACCTTCATTATAGCCTGGAAGCTCTACCCGTACTGCTTTGTCAATCGAACTACTATTCGCAATGACGATATTAATTGTATTGTTGAAATTCCTCTCATCGATTACCTAATCGGGCGCTTGGTCTAGGGGTATGATTTGTAAGACACACCATTGCTCACCATTCTCGAATATCATTCTAACACTCAACTTCAGTCGCTTCGCATACATCTGCGTAATCTGTGAAAGGTCGTGGGTTCAATTCCCACAGCGTCCACATTCTTTTTGCACTTTTTTTGTGTGCCTGGATAGATCGAGCTTGCTATCTATTGCGCAGCGAATAAGTTGTGTGGTTCCTTCTACCTTTTTTCTGCTGTTCCTGTGGTTGCTCCTGCTTGTTCTCGCTACGTGTAACAACGTTGAGTGGGTTGTAGTTGCTGCTTTTTGTGAGAAATGACCGTGCAGCGAACGTGAGGGGTGTATTATCTGACTTCCTTCTAAAGGCAAAACAAAAGATCAGCCGTGAACAATGTCGTTGTCTCAGGGAGAAACAAGTCTTTCTTTTTGGACTAATTGTGTTGATGAAGTAGTAAATACTGCTCGTTTGTTTGCTTCAAAGAGCGAGCTGAGCACGAACTATCACCATGATCAAGGGCAAAGAATATGCAGATCATCCAAATGTATTGCTGCTAATGTTCAAAAGATATATACAAAGAAACCTGGGGTATATGTGCGCCGTATCCAACCATCCAAGCAAGCAAGTCAGCAACCAGTGTGACTAGCCAAGCTATTGCCATCGTTCGTGAAGCACCGCTCAGTGCCTTGCGTGGTGTCTCGTGAGCCTCTGCCTGTGCTCCCTGATATGTCTTGCCATGCGTGCACTTCTGGCAGCGCCAGCAGGCGCTGGCGTCTCGGCTGGAGTATCGGCAGTGACGGTAGCATACACTGTCTCATAAACTGTGCGTACGGCTTGAACAGTGTCTGTGACAGTGGGAGCGGCAGGGTCCGCTGGAGGGGCCTTGACAGCGTCGGTAGGCGCTGGAGCAGGCACTGCAGGCACGGCGGGTGCTTGAGATACAGCAGGTACATTGGAAGGTTGAGCGATGCTTTGTGCTGTACTGGGAGCGGCTGCTGCGCCACTAGAGTTTTGGATTGGAGTGTTAGTGCCCTCAGGAAGCGACGCGGCAGGTGTTGTCGAGGGCGATGTCTCGTTGGAAGGTTCATTGCCGCTACCAGCTCCAGCTTTGGGCCACTGGAAGCCGGACATGGGACCATTGTTTGTCGGTGCTGGAGCTGGTGCGTTGACCTGTGTGGTCGGCGCGACGATTGGGCTTGGAGATTCGGCGGGGATGCTAGGAGAAGCATCGTCGGCAGGAGGCGACGCGACTGGGGCACTGGGCGACGCGGAGGGAGCCACCGAAAGTGTCTCGCTTGTCGGGATTGGCGCGAAGATACCGGACACCGAAGGGGTGATGAGCGAAGTCGGGACTGCAGGGTATCCGGATTCTACAGGAAGGCCAGAAGACACAATTGGCGTCTCCGATGGAACTGGCACAGGGGCGTATGCGGCGCTGCTCTGCTCGGATACTGAAGAAGATTGAGGAGCATAAGCAGCACTGCTCTGCTCGGGCACTGAGGAGGGCTGAGGGGCGGCGCCGTAGCCACCGTTGTCTTGGTACACCTTCAGCGAGTTGATGGTCCAGTATGCCTCGGCAAAAGCCTCTGGGTTGTCCCGTACCCATTCCTCGCATGTCGATGCCTTCTTGCTGCAAGAACTGTTCTTGGCGTTCCAAACACTGCTGCTACCCGCCCATTGTCCACAGAACGTAGTGTCGAAAACGATCTGCTGTTGCTTGAACGTGTTTTCAATATCGCAAGCACCGGCGAACTTGGCGGCTGGCTTGCCCCAGCCACTGGGGTCTGGGCTGTCACCGAGAACGTCTTCCGGGATAGAGTCGCGTGGGAAGAAGTAAATGCTGATAGCTTCAGCGGTCCATTGGGTGGCGTATACACCTCCACCATTAGCGTTCAAGCCTGCACCGTAGCTCTTGGTTGATGGGTCTTCGATGGAGCATCCCGCATTCTTCGACTGGTCTTCGGCAGCAACATCGCAGTTTCCTGTGGTTACCGAACCCGCAAACTGGGTGGTGTCATCGCCAATCTGGCAGCCTGGGCCTGTGTGGAGGGTCATGCCGTTGTTCGTCTGGTCGTTCACGCCTTCGATAATGTCAATCTCGCCGTTCTTTGGCCAGTTAGGACCGGTGGTCCAGAAGCTGCGGTACGTTAGTGATGTAACTCTACATCATGTCAAGTCTACTTACGCTGGCCATGTACCACAGCCAAAAGGCATGTGGGCGACATCCACCACAATCAGCCCACTATCGTATGTCTTCTTGCTCTCAATACGGATACTGGGCCTTCCCTCTGGTGTCTGGTTCTGTGTGTCTACACCCCACGAGATGGCCGAAGTAGACGAATTGATAAGGTTTGTCTGTCTTGCCGTAGCTTCATCGACATACTGTACAAAACCTTCAGTCGGGTCGGGTCCGGTAAAGAAGTCAAAGGCCCCGTAAAAGTCCGTCATGTAGTCATCCTCTAGAACATAGCCAGCTATGCTTAGTTGGAAAAAGGCCGCAGCCGAAGTGAGTGTGGAGAAACGCATCGTCAAGACGCTGAAAACCGAAGAAGATAGTAATGAATGACTGCGTACTAGACGCGTGGACAAAAAAGACACAAGAACTGAAAAGGCGATAGTACGAGATGGCGATGTAACCAAGCAGCAGATGGTCGAAAAGGGACGACCTGCCTATATATGCAGGCCTAAGATAGAGCCGCGCCAACGTCCCGAACATGGCAACAATCAACTCGCCCCTAGGGCCTCGTCTACTGACTAGACGAGTGCGGGTGAGTGTACATCTCCCGTTAGGCACATCGGGCTTCGTTTCAACATGATGGGAATTATAGACGGGCCGAGTTGATCTCCGGTTAGCAACATTGAGGGGACCTGCAGGAACCAGTCAGGCCTGTATGATGGGGGATTGATAGCGCTGGCAAGGCTGCCCGTATTTTTAACCAAACATGGGCTGTTTCATGAGAAATAGGACGGATGGCCCGTTGGTAAACGGACTGAGGCGCTTGAAACAGACAGAAGCGCATATCCTGGTTGATATGTGGCGGAGGCTACGGGTATTATCGACGGCCTGAGGCATTTGTCGCGGCTGGCGACATGTGATTCGCTGTCAAGGCGTTGAAACGCGTGGTGCTGGAGGGTGGGATGAAGGAGAGCGGTTGCTGGCCAATGCCGCGCGCTGGTTCTAGCGCTTCCGAAGCGAGCGCAGTGTTCCACCAGTCTGAAACCAACTACTCGGCCAATGAGTCGTTCGAGACGATCGACACAATTCTGGAGATATATATGCTTGTTCCAGGAGGGGTGCAGAGACCTGGCCCGCGGTGTACGTGTAACTATCTTCATTCATATCTGGTATTACGCGTCGTCATTAATGTAATGGGACAACTACTGCAGCGACTCGACTACAATGGCAGAAGCACCACCGCCACCGTTGCAGATTCCGGCACAGCCAATCTTGCCCTTCTTCTCCTTTAGTACACTGAGCAGTGTAGTTGTGATCCTGGCACCGGAAGCACCAAGCGCGTGGCCGATGGCGACGGCACCACCGTGCAGGTTGACCTTGTCTTCTTCAATACCAAGGATCTTCATGTTGGCGAGAGCAACGACACTGAAGGCCTCGTTGATCTCGAAAGCGTCGACAGCGGAGAGCTCCACCTTTGCGTGCTTCAGAGCCTTGGGCATGGCGAGCGCAGGGGCGGTGGTGAACTTGGAGGGGTTCTGCTCAGCGTCACCCCAGCCGAGGATCTTAGCAATGGGCTTGAGGCCGTGCTTCTTGACAGCCTCCTCAGAGGCCAGGACGAGAGCAGCAGCGCCATCGTTGAGCGGTGAGGCGTTGGCAGCGGTGACGGTTCCGTTTCCGGGCTTGAATGAGGGCCTCAATGTGCGCGTCTTTGCCTCGTTGAACTGCAAGTGATGAGTAAGAAAGTGCGGATTAGTGAACATGACAACTTACGTTCTTGGGCTCGTCGTCACGGTCTACAACGACCGGAGGCTTGCCACGTCCTACGGGAACCTCGATGGGGGCGATCTCCTCCTTGAACAAGCCAGCCTCGTGCGCGGCAATGGCCTTCTTGTAGGAGCGGATGCAATAGTCATCCTGCTGCTCACGGGAGAAGCCGTGGTCATCGGCGCACTCCTCGCCCTGCAGACCCATGTGCTCCTTCTTGTATGCGTCGGTCAGACCATCCTTCAGCACACCATCGACCAGCGATTGGTCTCCAAACTTGGCGCCTGTCCTCATGTTGGGGAGGTAGTGGGGAGTGTTGGACATGCTCTCGGTTCCGCCTGCCACGACGATGTCGGCATTGCCGGTTATGATGGTCTGCGCGCCGACAATGAGGGCCTTGATGGACGAGGCGCACACCTTGTTGATGGTGGTTGCGACGGTCGACTCGGGGAGGCCAGCGCCAAGGGCACACTGACGGGCGGGATTCTGGCCGAGGCTGCGGCTATGTCAGTACAGTGCTTGTGAGGCCGTCGGTGTATTTTGCAGTCGGTGTATTTCGTACTTTGCGGAGAGGACATTGCCAACGAAGACTTCCTCGACGTCGGTGGGCTTGATGCCAGCGCGCTCAACAGCAGCTGCAGGGGCTTGTTAGACGGATAGACGGCTCGATTGGCGGCAAGTATACATACCCTTGATGGCGTGAGAACCCAGCTGGACTGCACTCAGGCTCGAGAGGGAGCTGTTGTCGCGTGAGTTGGCGTTGCCCCTCTTCTCGAGCACTAGAAAACATACCCCAAAAACGCGCCCGTGGGCGTACGGGCAGCCGAGACAATGTAAACGGGGGGAAGGGACGACATGATGGGTATCTCTTGGGTGCAGGAGGGCGATTGAAGGTGCAGAGAGGGTATACAGGCTTGCGTTTAAATAAATGCCCCGACTACAGCAAGGACATCTTTTTGAAGTTTAGCCTTGCGCGACAACGGCGTCCAGGGTAAGAACTCGTCCCTGCGTCGCCTCGGAGGCCCATTGGCTGATGGCCGCCTCCGCCCTCACCGCCCAACGCTAGCCCGCGGAACCACCCTCTGAACTTTTGCGATAGCTTCGAGCTCGACGCGCATCATCACCGCGCAGATACCCACCCATACCGCCACCATGGATGACCTTTACGACGAGTAAGCACCGACAATCGCCTCCAAATTGCTACGCGACTGACTTGTCCCAGGTTTGGAAATTTCATCGGCGAGGCCGAGTCCGACGACGATGTCCAGAGCACCGGCGAGGCAGCCGATGCCTATGTCCTCGACGACGACGAAGACGAGGCTGATACCAACGACCAGCAGCTGATGGAGGTGGACGAAGGCCCATCCAACGCCGTAATCCTCCACGAAGACAAGCAGTACTACCCTTCCGCGTCCGACGTATACGGCCCAGATGTCGAGGTGTTGGTGCATGAAGAAGACACGCAGTCGCTGGCGCAGCCTATTATCGCGCCGGTGGTGCAGAAGAAGTTTACCATTCAAGAGACAGACCTGCCCCCAGTCTATCACTCAAGAGAACTCCTGACCGACTTGATGAACTTTCCCAACCAGATACGAAACATCGCCATCGCTGGACACCTGCACCATGGAAAGACCGCGTTCATGGACATGCTGGTCATGGAGACACACGACATCCAAGACCGTCTGGACTACAAGAGGGGGAAGAAGCGGGAAGAACAACTACGATACACCGACGTACACGTGCTCGAACGCGAACGAGGCCTCTCCATCAAGACCGCACCCATGAGCCTAGTCCTCCAGAACACAAAGTCCAAGTCGCATCTCTTCAACATCCTCGACACCCCCGGACACGTAAACTTCGCCGATGAAGTTGCCGCCTCGCTGCGCCTCGTTGATGGAGTAGTTTTGGTCGTGGACGTAGTCGAGGGCGTGCAGGTCAACACGGAGCAAATCATAAAGCACGCCGTGCTGGAGGATCTGCCTCTCACACTGGTAGTCAACAAGATGGACCGCTTGATTCTCGAATTGAAGCTACCGCCCAGCGATGCATACTTCAAGATCAAGCACGTTATTGAGGAAGTCAACACAGTCATCGAGAACACCATTCCAGGCCGCGGCGAGAGCAGACGGGTAAGCCCTGAGAAAGGCAACGTCGCTTTCGCTTGCTCCAGTATGCGCTGGTGCTTTACCATCCAGTCCTTCGCAAAGATGTACTCTGACTTCTACCCTGGACCATCCAAGCTGCCAGGATTCGGCGTTCCAATGAAGGGTCTCGATATCGACAAATTCGCCATGCGCCTTTGGGGCGACATCTTCTACAACCCAGGAAGCCGCAAGTTCAGTCGCAAGCGTCAGGAGGAGGGCTCACAGCGGTCCTTTGTGCATTGGATCCTGGAGCCCGTCTACAAGATCTACTCGCACACACTAAGTCAAAGCCCGGACGACCTCAAGGAGACGCTCGACACATTGGGCATCCGATTGAAGCCATCTGAATACAAGACCGACGCGAAGGAGTTGATGCGCCTGGTATGCCAGCAGTACTTTGGTCCATCTCTGGGATTCGTAGACATGATCACCCAGCATGTCCCGTCGCCTGAAGAAGGAGCGCAGCGACTACTGCAAAGACATTACACTGGTCCTTTAGACACAAAGACCGCCGAGGCCATGCAGAAGTGCGACCAGAACGGACCCCTAGTCATACATGTTACGAAGCTCTTCAACGCGACAGATGCGAAGTCATTCACCGCACTAGGCCGCGTAATGAGTGGTACCGCAACTTCCCCGCAGTCGGTGCGTGTTCTTGGAGAAGGCTACACAATCGAAGATGAGGAAGACATGGTCGTCGCTACAGTGACGGACACATGGATTGCGCAATCGAGATACAACATCCCCGTCAGCGGCGTTCCAGCAGGTAACTGGGTGTTGCTTGGTGGTGTTGACAACTCGATAGTCAAGACGGCGACTATTGTAGCCACCAAACTCCCCGACGAGGAAGACGCCTACATTTTCCGACCCATCCGCCACTTCTTCGAATCCGTTTTCAAGGTCGCCGTTGAACCCATAAATCCCTCTGAACTACCGAAGATGCTCGACGGTCTGCGCAAGATCAACAAGTCATACCCACTCATCACAACCAAGGTCGAAGAGTCGGGAGAACACGTCGTTCTCGGTACTGGCGAGCTCTATATGGACTGTGTCCTGCATGACCTACGGCGGTTGTATGCTGACATGGAGATCAAGGTGTCAGATCCTGTCACAAGATTCTGCGAGACGGTTGTCGAGATGTCCGCTATCAAGTGCTACGCGCTCACACCAAACAAGAAGAACAAGCTCACTATGATTGCCGAACCGCTAGACCCAGGTATTGCGGAGGACATCGAAGCTGGAAAGGTCAACATCAAGGACCCCGTCAGGGTTGTCGGAAAGTTCTTCGAAGAGAACTACGGATACGACTTGCTCGCTTCGCGCAACATCTGGGCTTTCGGGCCTGACGACATGGGTGCCAACATCCTACAAAACGACACACTTCCCACAGAGGTCGACGGCAAGACTCTGCGTACAGTCCGGGACACGCTTCGACAGGGTTT